CTATCTTTTGATGTCAATATCATCCTATACATGTATATTTAAGCATTTTCATATTGAACAGATTCATATTTAGAAATTTAAACATCTAGCTAGTTCAACATGTATACATTTATCATGAGCGCACGACATACGGTAGACTGAGGACCCGAATGGCCTGCTACCAACGCGAGTTTTACGGTAACGCGAGTACCTGCTTCATGGTAATGGTTTTGAAAACCTTTGCCGGAAGTATTGCAAAATTTTGGGAAAAAGACCAATTGCAACTTTTCGACTTACAAGATAAGGATAAAAGCCGAAAAATTCTAATTGAAAACGGATGCGTAATCTTGTCTCCTTTGCACTTCTATGTGAGGCATAATGGAGAGGGAACCAGAATAAACGGAAGTAGTGCATAAAATATCCAATGACATTTTTCACTTTTAAAACGAAAAATGTAAAATAAAAATGAATGATTATTTTAACCGACTTCCCGTTCATGGGTTTTGCCTGATTTCATATTACGATACCCGAACTATGTAATTTCCTGTCCTGTTATGGTTCTAATCAATGTTCTCTGATGGGTGCATTCAATTTAAGTATTATATAAAACATAAAATGACCGTATATAGTGTATGGTTGTGTTAAGTGCGGCCGAACGTGTGCAATCCAAACTGTTCTGAAAACATAAAAGTACTTAATATTGATGTGTATGTACTATAATTTCGATCAAAGAGCTCGTTTTGAGGCTTTGCCTTATTCATATTATAACTTTATATTTATTACTATTATTAACATTTACCCATGCAATTTTACGAATTAAACAGCTAGCGTAAGATAGTGGGGAAGGATTAAAAAAAATCTCATAAGTAAAGCATATTTTCCTTCTGCGCTGATGTTGATAAACTTTACTGTAATATTTTTATATATACCATTCATAACATTTAAGCTGTATAGAGGAATAATTATTTATTATTAAAATTATAGTTAATTCGTTACTATAGGAAAACCAAAAACTAGTTAATATACAATGTATACATATGTGTATCAATTCTCTAAACTGACAGCATCTTAATCATTAAATATATATCATGCTCATCTTTGAGTGAATTATTTTTTATTGCTGAAATGTATTGAAATCTATAAAATTCTTACTGGAATATGTCTTATTTGAATTAAATAGCGTACACACTACATGTATAGGAATCTATGTTTCCTACAACGGGTCAAGTAAAGCTGGGATTTTTTTAATGACATTATATATTCATAGTGTGTCCATTTATATTGTTTAGGATTTAAAGCATAAAATATCTGCTTTGTGTGAGTCAAATTATTTTTATTTTATATTTACAAAGAGACTGTTTAGCAATTAGATCTATCAATGTTTTCAAATATCAAATTTGAGCATAGCATATCTTTTAGACAAAGCACAAAATATATTTCTAATACAAACTAACTGGTCGAAATCGGGGAGAGGTCAATTAACCAGGAGCATGCAGTCAAAATTGGTAATGCTATATATGGATAGAATATTTCAACATGACACTTTCTACCAAAAAATCCTTGATCTAACTGCGCAAGCCTTATAATGGCCCTGTGTAATTGTGTTATATTGTATGCGTATAAATTAATATATGTTAAAATGTAAATATCGATAAACATACGTTTTTTAAAGTTTTGTACATGTTTATATGTTTGTCTGACTTTGTCATCATATAAAATAATAAATAAGTCATCTTTTCTGTGTACGATGCAAATTGTGTCTACCTTTTGTGTCCATGTTGGTAAAGTCACTCATCATCATTTTACGCTATTGTGTTCTATTGTGTTTCAAATGTCACACGTGAATAGCAAGCCTTTTCTATATCGTATTGTTAAAGAAGTTTTACCCTCTTATTATTTAATGTAATGTCCAAATAATTGGTCAGTTATCAACTGCATAATGTCCAACACGATGCAGTTAGTAGAATTATAATTTCATTAAACAAATTTATTCTACATTAATATATGTATATTTTTTATAATACTATTACAACAAAAAAGAAGAAGAAAAAACAACATTCTAGATAACACTATCGGAAATGTTTCTATATAAACAAAGAAGGCCCGAAGCGTGCATTGTTCTACATCAATGCACTCGCCGTTCTTATTATCTCACTGTGTATTTTCACATTGAGGGCGCCATTTTGTTTAAATAAAAAACAATTTTTTTGTCGAATTTGGTTGTGAAAACTACCTAGAATGAAAGAAAATGGTCTAACTATAAAAATGAATCCGAACACCAATATCTTTAATTCAGTCGTTAACGCTGTACAGACGTTTAACATCACAATGTAGCGCCAAACATCACGTGCAAAACAATCAAATCAAGTACGCTATTTTAATGTCGCAAACGAGTTAATTTTTACATTTATTTCACTTTTAATAATTTGTATTTCGCTTGAAAAGTTATTGAGTGAAATAAAATAAACAAACAGAGTTTTATCAACGTTTTCAAAATTCGTTATTCTGAAAATGTTTCTACACGGTAGATTTAACGACAGTTTTGTTTCAACCCACTGGAACAGCCTTTAAAGAACGTTTCTATTGGAAATTCTGAGGTAAAAACCAAACATAAAGTCCAACTTAACAATAATTATTATATTTTTTCTTAACGTGTTAGAATGGAAATAGATATTAATTCTTCGTCAGTGGCGTAACTAGGCGTACTCCTGTACGCCCGTGCGTACAAATCAATCCTGTATTCCGAAAAATCACATGCGCTAAAAGTTCTAAAAAAGTGATAAAAACAGAGGGGGTAGAGTGGTCTGAGCAACATATACTAATTTTTCTATCATTATATAAAAAAAATCATAACATATCAGTATTAATTATTATCTTTTAAAATGATCTATATAGCGATATCTTATACAGATTCACCAGAGAAAATTTACGAAAAGCTTAATGTGCCTGGTTCAGCACCGATTCTTGGCAAAGATAAAGCTCGGGCGTTGGCGGCATATGTTATGCGCATCGTGCTTCTTATTCGGCCAGCAGGTCGTCCGCAGGAATTTTTCCAAAACCCTTTACCCTTTATGTTGGCCCTATTGTGCCCTCTTTTGGTTTTGGTTGGGTGCCTTCTGGGTACCCTGTTTGTGTGGCTGGATTGTGTAGGGGGCTGCGTTCTGCCAACATCGCCTTGTATGTTTGTTTTTTTCTCTCATCTTTTAATCAGTAAACGAGTAACAAACTGGTGTAATTTCTCAAAGTTCGTTGCAAGACATGCAAAGTTCTCATGGCATATTAATCAATTGATTGCTGTAGAGAATTACTTAATCGTGCCGAAAAGGCAGAATAAGACAAAGAGTGTAAAATTCCATCTCAATTGTATGCATTTATTTAAAAGATTCTTGTATAATTATTCTTTGTGGTCAGCAAAACATTGCGATGAGTCATCAAGCAAGTTCCATGTGCAGTTATATCATTATTAAAGTCACATATCTACTAAAGAATTTACTTTATCACAAAATATCTTAAATGAATCCTTTAATGTATTCACGTGAGTTTTATAGTTAACTCCACATAATCTACATGTATGTTATACGCAACGAATTTTAATTAATTTAGTGACATTTCTGAAAGGAGATTTTAAAATATCTTTGCGTGTACTTTTTGATATATTAGCGGCGATGTCTATACGCCGTATAAGAGGGGAAAATTGCCGATTTTATGCTATATTATACGGTTAACGCACGTTTTTCCATGTTATAACGTCTGCAGATTCCAAAGTAACGGTGGTTGGTGCCCGAGCCCGGTAGTAGTATTTGGATAAATACTGTCCAAGCACAAGGATTAAATGTATGTGTTTTGTATTAAATATACATCATGAATCTGTTTTAATATTTTATGTTATAATAGCGTCAACGTACGTTTATTTCGTGTCATAAAGTCTTCAGAATAAACCCATGTTTTTACGAGAATCTCACTGTCAGCTGTGGCGTATGTGCTGGACTAACGTAAAGTCCAGCGGCCCCGGGCAAGGCTCTGTACCCAAACGTGAGGCATTGTTTGACCCTTTAAGTGGTCATGTCAGTTCTCGGAAACAACTGAACTAAAACGTCAGAAGTACGTACTATAGACACTGAACGTATGTCTTGTCTAGGTCTCATAAATGTTTAAAAAGGGCGAGTAGGCAACTTTGCATACCAACAAAACAGACGTCTAATGTTTGTTTTTGTTTTATGTTTATTTTTTTCTAGTTTAAAATTTATTGAATACGGGAATTTTTTTGCTATAACATCAGTTTGAAGGTTGCAAAATAACAAATTTGTGCTGCAAAAATATCAATTATAAATATAAGAAAAGTTTTACGGTATAAATACATACTTGTTCATTTTACATATTTTAAAATAAATAAAAAGAGTTTGAAATCATCACCAATATGTTGTCAATATAGCCTCTAGATAGTCACGAAATGCCAGGATATCGCTTCTTCTTTCAAAAAAATTCTTCGGGGGAGCATGCCCCCGAACCCCCCTAGTTATGGAGTACATTTCAAAATATCTCAGTTACGCCCCTGTTCGTGCATTATATATAGAGGATATTGAATGAGTGTAAGTTCAATACTGAATTTATTGCACGAGTTGAATAAAATAATATTATGTGAGCCTCTGGCGAGCATAATATTATTTTATTCAACGAGTGCAATAAATTCAGTATTGAACTTACACGAATTTAATATTCTATTTATCACATACCCAAAATAAAGACCATTTAAAGTGAAATAAGAGTCATTTTTCATTGACGCGCCTATAGTATAACGCTAACATTTAGCGCGTCTTTACACTATGTTTGTATTACGCTAATGACGTCACGTCAAAATATATGCACGGCCGTGCGATACCATACCTATTTACGGAGTCGCAAAATCGGCACGGGTGTGTGATAATGAATAATAATGCACGTTTTTCGTTCAAATGCTTTGTAATTGATCACTCAGGCCTATCGGCCTTCGTGATTATATAACTACGCATTTGAACTCAAACTGTGCATTATTCTACAACAATGCACTCATAATCTATTTCCTAAACAAAACACAGTCCGACCTGTCTCACGGTCCGTCCTGTCCGTAAATTAGTTTTCAGTACGCATGCGCTATAAATTTGGAAAAATATCAGTATGGCGGAAAAAAGTCCTGGGTAATATTTTCTCAAAATTTGAAGAAATTGCAGTAAGTACCTTGTGAATTTTGAAACCAATAAGTAAATTATTTCGTACTTAGATGAAATGATAACATAATAAACAAAAAATAAGTAACTCGGCCAGGTAAATTACCAAAGTTTTTTCAATTGAAAACGAAACTAGGAAGTAAAATAAATTTTGGGGTATTTCCGCGTTTTAAAATGCAACAAGCATTAATCAGACTATTGTAAAGCTCTTCTTCAAATGAATTCTGTATATTAATTGATGATTGTAAAACGGCCAGTCCTATTGTGTGTGGGTAGGATTATCAAAACGCGTGTGTACCGAAAACGAAAGTAGAAATGGCAATCACCCCTATCCTCGAGTGTCCAGTTTCGACGCCCTTAAGGATTGTTTTGGATGCGTCTATAAAAACCATGTAATTGTATTGTATAAAATGTTGTAAGTTTTTAAAAAAATCTCTAACCTTCATGAAATGGGTAAATTTAAGCTGTTTTTCCAGCTATTCCTTTTCGGTAGCAAGACACCTCACCCCCCAGACACTTCACCCCTCAAATTTTGAAGACACTTCACCCCTTAAGACACTTCACCCCCCAAAATCAGTAAGACACTTCACCCCTCATCCAATTTTTTTCTATAAAGTAAATAAAACAAGTTGGTCAACAAGAAAATGCTGATATATGTTTATTTATATTATTTTTAGTAATATTTGATTAAAAATTTTGCTTTTTACCTTTATTTTTACTAAGTTAAAAGCTGATTTAGGTTAATTGGTTGTATTGCCAAATGATATATCACGGCACTTTCATCCATTAAGTGTTTATGTCACCTTGTTTATTCAACATGTTGATTAGTTGTTTATTCAATGGTTATCCCCGTCCCTAGATTTGCCACCACTTGCCAGCTATTTCCACTGAAAAGGGTGGCATTAAGTGTAAAAAAGGTGGCATTAACTGGAAAATGACAAAATTCCACTCTTTTTCCACTGTAGTGGCAAAATTGCCACCAAATGCCACTATCCTTTGGTGGCATTTTAGGTGGCATTGAGTGGAAATTTGAACATAGACTTTTTTTATGGTGGCAAAAGGGTGGAAATTAGTGAAAAATGAAACTTAGTTTATTTTGAAGGTGGAAAATGAGTGGCTTTTAGTGGAAAAGTGAAACTCTAACTATTTTCTGGGTGGCAAAAATAGTGGAAAAAAACTTAGAAAATTTTGTGAATAACTTTTAGTCGAAAAGGGAAACTCTTAACTATTTTCTGGGTTGTATAAAAATTGGTGGATAAAACTGAGAAATCTAGTAATTGTGCATTGCAGGGGTTTAAGATTTATTTAAGTCAAAGCTCCGAACTGAAATAAATCTGTTTATAGTTTTGTACTCTACCAAAGCATCAAGTGAACTTTTTATCAAAAATATAACCTATTGAAGTTGAACAGTTTAGAAAATTTTATCAGAAACTCATATTTCTTAAACATACTAGAATGCCATGAACACAATTCTGATACAAAGTCACTGCCCTCACAGTAACGGTATGATAATTCCAGCTGTAAAATAGCAGGAAAAGACACAGAAATTGAACGTAAAATCACTTTTCCAGGAGTTAAAACACATATAAATTATGATCAGGTAAAAATTAGAAAAGTATGGGTTACTTAACTTCCCATTTTTTATGGCAGTACTTTTCTTTTAGGGATGTAAAAATTTGACTTTCAAGTCAAAATGTTTATGTTCCATTCTATGCTTGTAAAAATAAAAATTACGGCTTTTAAAGTGTACTTTATATGTTCTTTAGTTATAATCTGTACATTAATTGAATAGTTGAAATGTTCTTTCTATGCCCAGAAAATGCATATCTCTGCATAAAGTTTGTTGCTTCTTCTATGATATTTAATGTCAATCTTGAATAAAGTTTGACTTTTGTTTTTTCTTCTAATTGACATAATAAATATTACAGTCTCTTCAATATTACTTTAAACTGATATCCGGTGAGTACTAACACTTTTCATGTAATGCTAACAATAATTAAAGTGAAAAATGCAAAGGGCAATAACTCCAAAAGTATGCAAAGAGTTATGGTTCTTAAACACAGCACATTACTCAAAAAGATCTATATCTGTGAAGTTTCAAATTAATATCTCCAGTACTTTTTAAGCTTAATGATCAAGACAAAAATTAAGCATAGAGAAGTAAAAAATGGCAATAAACCCCAAATCATGCAATAAAAAGTTATGGTTCCTTGGCATTGTAACTTCTCATAAATGAGATTTAGTTATATGTGGAGTTTAAAATTATTGTCTCTAACATCTTTTGTGCTATGCTTTCAGAGGCTTTAAATCTATTGTAAAAATTAATGTGTGAAAAGTAAATAAGTCATAATGTCTGATAAATTTCTTACAATCAGGATAAGTAAATACTATAGCTAGTAAATACTGCATCCTCTAAGATTTAACAACACAGCATACATCTCAGATCTGATAAAACTACTGCCCTCTTATCTAGTAATCTATGAATGGGGGTTAATAGTTTACTCATGCTGACCAGAATGTTCCATTTGATTATTTTGGGAGAGGCAACATTATACATGTTTTTATGTAGAATTTGTCTTAAAATAGCATACTAAATTATCTTTCAAAAGCTTATTTCTACTCAATCTATTTAGGTATTAGATATAGTTATACATTCAAATGAATGTCAAAAATAAAATGATGGGTGCTATGGTTTTTGGAAAACCCCTCACAATTTAAAATTATAATGGACTGTCCATGCACTTACACGTTGTAAAGTTTGAATTCAAAGGAATTGAGGTCAGTAAAAGCTTGCAAACACAAAGGAAATTATTGATATTGTAGCAATTCTGGAGATATTTTGTTTAAAATGTAAGGGTGCATATTTTTGATTTCTCAAAGAAAACATTTAAAGTCTTATTAGTGTGGTAAATAGAAATGAGAAGTTTTAACTGAAGTGTGAATGTGTAGACAAGAAGATAAACAGCAGAATCATTCCCAGTCAAAGTTTCAGGTAAAAAACTTTTACATACAATAATTATTGTTATTTATGCAGAAACTGTTTAGTTTTTTGACAGTAAAATATGAAGTGGTATTGTAATAAAATTGTGTTTTTATATTTGTTTTGTTTGTAACTTGACTAAAAAGAAAGCTGCATGTACAATGTACATATAAAGAATGTAGGGAATATAAAGAATGTAGGAAGATCTTCATCATTTCTTAAATACAATATGTTAGAAATTTTAAGTTTTGAGAAAAAAATTATAGAAATTAATCAGTAAGTACAATATCATTATGTACAATATTACATCAATCAAACTATAGATAACCTGAGGTACCTATTACTACAACTTTCATGCTATAAACAATTTTCCTTGTGTGTCACATGTGGAGCAGATTAACAGTAACTGATTTATTAGTAAGTTTCATTCCTTCATTGTTGTAATTCAGCTTTCATGGTGCAGTAGATAATTATATAACCATAACTAGACAGTCTATAGTAACATGCTATTAGGAGAGTGACAGTTCATAACAGAAACAGCATTAAATAAGAATTATTATTTTGCAGACACAAAGCAATGAGGAGCAGCCTGGAGCAAACACATTTGATCTTCAGTGGCTTTACAAAGGTATCTTGTTAATTCAAAGTTATTTTAGAATTAATAGGAAAGAAGTGTCACAGTACCCAATTAGACACTTTTCAGTTCTTGATAAATATAGCTATTAGTCACTATTTACAAACCTACTTTAATTCAAACTCTTTATGACACTTTAATTTGCATTTACATTTTGTTTTACAAATTTTAGAGTTTTTGTACATTTTAGCTTGAAAATTTTAAGTTGTATTTCTTTATTTCTTTCTTATTTAAAAATTTTAGAGTTGTATACATATACCAAGGTCTTATAAAAGTGTTTCATTTTCTGTCTTTACATATTAGATATTGATAATTATTTTCTGTCTTTACTTATTTGATATTGTTAATCATATTTTAGGACCAAGTGATGGCAGAACTGAAGCCATATGCCTCAAAAGAGAAAGGTACAGCAAAGCTCTTCAGAATGCTATTCAATATAGAAGAGATTAAAGGCCGCTCATTGTTTGGTATGAGGAAAAGGGAACATAGAGTCTAAAGCCAGACCTTCTTGTGCAGACAAGGCAAAACTTAAGTTCTTGGAAGGTAACTAATGAACTGAATGAAAATATCCTTTTTGATTCTGCGTATATTTTCTGCCTTGGAGAAATAAGAAAAGTCTGATTCTTCCACGTCTGCAGTGCTGTTTTTTTAAAGTGTTTTAATCATATCTATGCACTCAAATTGAATATAGAAATATCCAATAGTCATATAAAAATGTAAGCTTATGTTTTTAATTATTGTATTAATCATTCATAATTTTTTTTGTTTTAGATTGTGCGCTCGAAAAGTTGCCGACAACCTAAAGGACTGAACTCAAACCGTCCAGGAATAGCAAGATAAACTGAAGAAAATAAATGGACTAATGTTTTGCTATTTTTTGAGACAATAAATAACTTCAAATGGAAACATTAAAAAGGATTATTTTTAAAATTTGTTCGTTTCCAATTTAGGGTACAGGGTGACTTTTAAGCAGTTTCCAGCTATTGCCACCCACAAGGTGGAAAATTTCTGAAAGGGTGAAAATAGGTGGCATTTAGTGGAAACTGAATTTGCCACTATCTGGTGGCAAAATGGTGGAAAAGTGTCTAAATACTCCACCAATTTTCCACCCTTATGGTGGCAAAAGGTGGAAATAAGTGGCATTTGGTGGAAAATAAGTTTGCCACTCAATGGTGGCATAATGGTGGAAATTTGTCTAAATACTCCACCAGTTTTCCACCATTATGGTGGCAATAAGTGGAAACAAGTGGCATCTAGTGGAAAATGAGTTTGCCACCCTAAGGTGGCATAATGGTGGCATTATGGTGAAAGTTTGTCTAAATACTCCACCAATTTTCCACTCATTGGTGGCATTTAGTGTAAAAAAGGTGGAATTAACTGGAAAATTA